TGTATACATTGATAACATAAAGTTAAAGAACTAACCTGTATATATTGATAACATAAAGTTAAAGAACTAACCTGTATACATTGATAACATAAAGTTAAAGAACTAACCTGTAGATGTAGGCATTGATATCATAAAGTTAAATTCACCTGTAGGTTCTGATCATGTATAGCTCTAGTACTAACCTGTAAAGGGGAACTGTGTGGATTATGCATGTGTATAAGAGGAGAATAACTGCTGTTTAATGGCATTCGGACACCTACAAATGGCCTTAACCTATATGGGTTAGGAACTCCAACTGCAGTGACCTGAAAAAAATTCATTTTATACTTAAACCTGCATTTCAACACAATTACTATGAAACAGTAAGAAATTTCTAAAAATATATAAAAGTTAGCCTGAATTCAAGCTAATCTAAAGTTATTAATTCAATTATACTTTCAATACAAAAAATAAAACTTTTAAACACAGTGATGCATTATCTCATATACTCATGTTTGACAAAACATCTTCTAACTTCTTATCTTTCTCTGACAATACATTACAATGATCCACAATAATCAGCAAAGTTATTGTGAAACTCATTGTTTATTAACAATTAGTACAGCAATATGGACTACAATGATTGGCAAAGTTACTATAAAATTATTTGTTTAACAATCAATGCAACAATAGATTACAATGTTCAGCAGTTATTGTAAAATCCTTTGCTTAACAAACAATCAATAGGCAAAAAGTATAATGATATAAAATGATCAGCCAAGTTATTGTAACATTTTTATTAGTGTTAACAATCAGTACTACTACAGTTTGGAAATGTTTCATACAAATAAAAGTGGACTCTGTTTTATTCCTCACTTTCAACATTTATATTTACTTCAGCCCTAATTATTTTTGTGAATTATGTGTTTGTAGTTATGTGAATCATTAAAATATTTTTTACCTTTTTGTCATTCCTATTTTTACAAGAATATTGGTTAAGCCTAAATAACCTTGAATTTTCTTTACTATTATGAATATAGAATAACAAAAAGGTAGTGTCCTAGCACTCAAAATGAAACAACTTAAACAATGTGATTAAAATGCCTTCACTTTTTATTAAAATGAAATTTTCATATTAAATGACTATCATATTTATTGAATTATTTTAAGTTATTTCACAATATATACAAGAAATCAAATATAATGCTTTTATGCTGATGATAATAATATATTAAGATTCTTTTCCTTACATCACAGGGATCGAAATATTACATTTCCACATTCCTGAGGAATTTAACTTTGCTTGAGGAATTTTACCTTTTTAGTTGGCTCTCCTGATCAGGAATGCATGGTCCATCCATATTCCTTTAGTTATGTCCAATGAAAGTGTACATATTGCATGGATTAAGTATAAAAAAATTAATGAGGAAATGCAACTTTACACGAGGGAATGTAATCTTCCTGATAGCTTTCCCTCGAGTGAATGTAATTTTATTTCATTATTTCTATCCCTGCATCAGTTACAATATATAAATTATCCTCCTGTCACCTTTTTGGACTTTACATTAAGATGTTTCTCCTAACATCTCTGGTACTACAGTGAAGTATTCCTTTATCACATGTTTCACACCACATCAAGATACTTTTCTATATTTCTGTAATAATATACAAGGCATTTTCCTCTTGCCTTTCTTGACCCTATATTTAGATGCTTCTTCAAACACCTCTGGCATTACAACAAAGTATCCCTTTGTCATCTTTTTCACACTACATCAAGATGCTTTTCTTTACTTCTGTGATAATATATGAAGTATCTTCCTCTCACCTTTCTTGATACTAAATCTAGATGCTTCTTCTTACACCTGTTTTACACTGCATGAAGCATTTTTCTTTCACCTTTCTTGACCTTACATTAAGATGCTTCTCCAAACACCTCTGGCATTACAATGAAGTATTCCTTTGTCATCTTTTTCATACTACATCAAAATGGTTCTCTTTACAGCTGTGATACTGTATAATATAATGCTTTATCACCTTTCTCAACATTACATTAAGATACTTCTCCAAACATCTCAGGTATCACAATGAAGTATTCCTTTGTCACTTTTTTCACACTACATCAAGATTGTTCTCTTTACAACTGTATGATGTAACACTTTGTCACCTATACACACTAAACCAACATGTTTTCCTTATATCTTTGACTCTATATGAAGTGTTTCTTTTTACATCTCTAACACTATAATAAGTATCCCCTTGTTATTTTTTTCACATTATATTAAGATGCTTCTCAAGCACTTCAGACACTGTAAGAACTATCTCCTTGTCACCTTTTTCATATTATATTGAGAGGTTTCTTCAATATCTCAGACACTACAAGATGTATCCCTTAAAATTTAGGTCTCAAAAAGTTTTATCAAGTGGCAGAAAATATGAAAAGGCAATGGAAACACAATTTCACACTTCAGGTACAATAATTTATAATTAAGTTAATTTTTTAATCATAAACTTCGTATACGAAAATGTATCATACAAGCAATACAACTTAATTGTATACGATTTACAAAAAACAAAAAATTTATTCACTTACAAATCACCTGTTGCAAATATACTGTGTACATTTTTCTAGACTTGTTGCTCCAAACAGTTCTGTATTGCTTTACAGGTTTATAAGCCTGTTTAAGAGAATGCTGGGGCCTCAAGTGTTATATCTATAATTATGCAGTGTTAGATATACACGACTATTTAAGTTTAATGCAAGTGTTATGATATAGATAATCTTAAGATAGCACGAGAGTTAAATTTAGTTATTTTTAACAGCAACAGTTTATTTACATAACTGTGTACAAATCACAACAATTGAACTACACAACATGTGATTCATATGTAGTTCAATTGTTGTGAATTGGCACTTGTATTATTGCATAATATTACATGAGCCTTCCATATTTTTCTCATTGTTTTGATTGAGTGTTATTACATCATAATATCTTGTAGTGTGTAGAAAGTTTTAGGTCTCAGTCAGGCTATAAATATGCATACAAAATTTAGTTTGAGTAAGTTAGACAAAGCTAGTTAGATAGATAGCTAAGTCTAGACTGCATGATTGCGAGTTTAGTCATACGAGCATACAGTGGCGATTTCTAAAGTAAATTACAGATTATATGGTAATAACAGAGTATAGAAGAATAATTTGTTTTGTCAATTGTGTTCTAAAGTAACTGAACCAGCCTGTGTGGATTTTGACAAAAAAGAGACGATTACAAATGGATACAACTGTGATAACCAACAGTGTAGCGAACATTTGTATATACATTTGACTTGTTTTAATATATTATTTGAAAATAAGTGAATTTTGTGCTGTTTTTTTATTGTTGAAATTTATTGCCAACAAGTCACAGGCACCTGCTATAAAAAATCCTGCTCATCCATATGTAAAACCTAACATGCAATTACTCAAGTAATTTGTAACCAACTAAGGTTAATGAATAATCATAATTACTGGATACAATGTGATAAGCAACAGTGTAGCGAACATTTGTATATACATTTGACTTGTTTTAATATATTATTTTAAAATAAGTGAATTGTGTGCTGTTTGTTTATTGTTGAAATTTATTGCCAACAAGTCACAGGCACCTGCTGTAAAGAATCCTGCCCATCCATATGTAAAACCTAACATGCAATTACTCAAGTAATTTGTAACCAACCAAGGTAAGTGAATAATTACAACTAATTTTACATATTAAATGAGTAAATAACCAAAGTAAAAACCTAGTATTTTTTTATATTCTTCGAGCAGACTAAATTTCAAGTCAACATAAAAATTAGAATAACATCAGTTTATTTTGTACAATAAAACTTTTGATAGTTATAACTTCATCTTACAAAGTTTGAAAACCATTAGAGAATGAATAAGAATAAAACTAGAAAGTTTATTTAGATAATATTGTATTATTGTGTTAACAAGTAACAACAATGTTTTAACTTCTCCACATTAGCTGTACTTTTCACTTTTTTTTTTATAATAATGGTATCATACCAGCTGACTTTTTAAAACTTAGTTGTGTAAAACCAAAAGCAAATTTTCAGTATTTTTTTACATGAAAGATGAGACTTCCCCAAAAATAATATTTGGGATTAACCAATCTTCACCATATAGTATGAAAATAGACTAAATAAGGCAAAGATAAATGACATTAATATATTCTATTCAATTTCAAAGCTCATATCTTTATTTCTACTGTTTTGATTTATATAAAAATAAAAACAGTTAAAAATGAATATTTCAATTTTTTGAATTAAAAGTAGTTGTACAATTATTTATAATCATATTTAGAAAAGAATTATAGCATTGGTAAACAGTATGCCTGCCATTACTTATACAGTCGTACCACTTGCATTTTCACTTATTATAGACATCAACGATACAAAAAACATCTTTCTCAAGAGAATTCTAACTTTTAAACAGGGAAAAATCAATTTTGCAACAAGTCTCTGTTATAAGAGTTGCAGGTTTGTGCTTAACAAGAAACAAACATAATAGCAATATTTTGATTACTTGGATAGTAGGAATAATTGAAATTCAATTAGTTGACTATTTCAGTGTAATTTCAATTAATCGATTGTTGGAAAAATCAAAGACAGTAATAATTGGAAACACTAATTTCAATTAGTTGATCATTTTTGTGATATTAATCAATTAAATCTCCCAGCTACTAGTCACCTTTTCCAAATTACATCAAAATGCCTCTTCAACATCTCGGACACTATAAGAAGTATCCTCTAGTCATCTTTTCCACATTACATTTAAGATGTTTCTCCAATATCTCTTGACAGTATAAGTATTCTCTTGTCACCTTCTCGACTTTACATAAATATACAAACAAGTATAAAAAATGTTTCTATGTCAAATAAAGTTGTTTCTTCCACAATTATACAAATATTAGCTTTACACAAAGCTGCTTCTTCCAACATTTCAAACTATTTACCAGTTACGTGTATAGATTATAAAAACAAGTCTCCTTATAAAAATATAATATTTTTTAAAATTTGCAAGCTACTAAAACATTTTATCATCAAGCAGCAAAAATATCACATTTTCACAATAAAGTTTCATAACCACCAGTGACTCTCAATAAATAAGATGTACTCCAAATGTGTACTTCATTGAAGCTCATGAAGTTATCTATTGTCTCACAATTTGAACAATGACAACAAATTACTTTAAAATTATTTTAATTTAATCACAAACAATTAGTTTGTACTTCAATGAAGCTCATGAAGTTATATTTTGTCTCACAATTTGAACAATGACAATAAATTATTGTAATTTAATTAGTTTACTTCATTTATAATTTTTGATGATTAAAAATTTAATCTAAAGAGAATAATTAAGTAAGAGGTACTAAATTGAAGGGATAAAAATAAAAACCTTTTTTTTGAATGACAATAATTATCTAATAAATCTTAATGGATAAAGAGAAATGCCAAACATTTTATATGATACTTCCACCTTTCAATACCATTAAACTTATACAATCACCCTACTACATTTAACTCGGTGTTTATTTAAATGACAAAGTGTTCGATTACACATCTCAAAAAAATGTCACATTCACTCTTTATAACAGGTTTGATAATTAACAAATATTCCAAACACCACATTTGTATTACAGTAAAAATTAATGTAACAGAAAGTTGGCTCCTTACCAAATATTTAAAAGAACCTGCAGAAGTGTGAATAAATAAAGTATTTTCAACCGGGCCTTCTTCCCTGGCTAAAAACACTACAACAAATGAAGTGTTCCCACCCGGAGATATCACCTATACATGGATAAAAAACATTTTCAATTAAAGGTAAGAATAAACTTTCATTATAACTCCAAATAATATCAATATTTACATACAATATCACCTATGATAAGGATGAAACCAAAATACAAAGCACAAAACAGACTTTAAAGAAATGGTAAAGGGAAGAAAAATAATTTATCTAATACAAAAAATAATAATACATAATCAAACAAACAAAATAAGACAGAAAGACATACTTACAAATAACCAATATGTCAAAGTGGAAAAAATATGCATAACTAGAGTTTAAGTTCAACCAAACATGAACATAAAAGAAAACTAGTTGCATCAAAGGCTTAAGATGAAAAATATTTTAAGCTAATATATTTAAGTAATGGCAGCATGACATTGCTTATTTAAATATAAAATAAAATGTTTAGGTTAAACAAAATATTTAAGCGTACACAATAATCTAACCATGTTTCAGCACAGTTAAGTACAAAATAATAAATTACATAAATACACATTATAGTTACACTGATTACAATACGTTTCACTTTCAAAAGGTTATTACGTGGATAGACATATCAAAAAGCAATACATCACCACACAAGAACCAAGTTAACCATATTGTGTAAGTTTGATCAATATCTACAATAACATGTAAAATAATATCATTATAAAAGATGTTGGGAACTATGCACACAAATGTACAGTAAATGATACTTGCATCTACAAATAACACTAAAAATTAACATATTTAAAGCAAGATCACACATTATTGAATATTCAGACAACAATAGGAAAATAAAATAGCACTCATTTGCTGTTTTTACCAACATACCTTTTCTAGAAAAAAAGAACAGTGAAAGAGGAGTGTACTTCCAGATATAGATAGCAGATGTACACTGGTGTCGGAGCTGGGGTTTCTCACCACCACCACCTCCATATGAGGCATCCCCACAGGGCTTAATAGAGAAATAAGTGACTGGTGTATATTCTAATAACAAAACATGTAGTTCTTTACAAACATTCACAAGTTCTGTAGTATAAAGTTTAAGATGAAGGTTATGTTTATAAAATAATGAATTCTGAAAATATTTTTGCACAAGAAAAACATATAATGCCATCAATACAATGTACTGAAGCATTTTTGTAGCTATAAAATATCAGGATACTGTTTATACTGAAGCTGAAAATTATCAGGTCACTCACTGTTCATACTGAAGCTGAAAATTTCCAAGTCAATGTTCACACTAAAACTTAAACAAATTTAACGTCACTGTTTATAAAGAAGGTAAAAAATATCAGGACACTGTTGATACCGAAGCTAAAAAATTTCAGGTCATTGTTTGTATTGAAGCTAAAAGTTTCCAGTCATTGTTCACACTAAAACTAAAAAAAATATAACGTCACTGTTGATACCGAAGCTAAAAAATTTCAGGTCATTGTTTGTATTGAAGCTAAAAGTTTCCAGTCATTGTTCATATTGAAGCTAAAAATTTCCAGTCATTGTTCATATTGAAGCCAAAAAGGTCAGGTCATTGTTCATATTGAAGCTAAAAATTTCCAGTCATTGTTCCTATTGAAGCTAAAAAGGTCAGGTCATTGTTCATATTGAAGCTAAAAAATGTCATGACACTGTTTATACTATGAAAATATAGAAAAAGAACATACAGTTAAAATAAACTAAGCTCAAATGATTTCTAGAACATATTTAAATTGGGAAGTGCCTAATATTTAACGAACTTTCATATTTACTTGAGTTTTATCATCTGTTATGAATAGTTTGTTTTTTTATATGTTTACATGCATACTTTAAAATTAGTTTAAATTATCATTTTTTAAAGTGGTCAATAAAAAATCTTGACATTCCATTTTATTTCTACGATTTCTAATCAAAAGTAACTGTCCACTTTTATTAAGTGTTTTTGTATTGTATAAATATTTGTTTATGTGAACTGCACTTGATGATACATTATGCAGAGAACCACCAACTTAAAATTTCTTGTACTCTTTGAAATTGTTTACAATTTCTATTAAATATACACCAATAGAATATATTTAGAAACAATGTTTTTTAAATGATTCATGATATATTGACATTATATTTCAAACCCAATCATACATAGAAATGCTCTCAATAGGTGGCGCCTGTTTCAATACCTTAATTTAGCTCTAACATGATTATTAACAGCAAAGACACTTTAGGCCTTATTTCATTGAACAACTAAGTCTTAACCTAAATATGTTCAGCTATAATATTTGATTTCAATTATATTTTCATTAATGACAATTGAGCCTAATTTGAAGGTTGGACATTAAATGAGGTAAAAAAAAAGTAGTGTGCAAGAAGAGTACGTGTACTTCCAAAATTTAAGTGTACACTTTCAATCAATAAATTTATTTTCCTATGAAGTTAATCTGAGATTCATAGAGCAATTTACAAAGTAAATGGTATGTGAAGATTGGTGTATTTTAACATTTTCCTTTCAATTCATATTATGTAAATATATTAATACTCACTGCATTTTAAAATCCAATAAAGGAGGATCAAATAATAAAGGACTATTGAAGGAGCTTAAATTTTCATCATCCAAATCTGTAAAACTGAAAGAAATGTAACATATTCAATATATCTACCACCTAAAAAATCAATAAAATCAGTAAAACACACATACACAAAAATGACAATACCTTTTAAAACTTCATAACTAAATATAAGTTAGAAAAATAATAGGTGTAAATGTTTAGAATATTACTTCTTTAGTTAAGAAAATTCTTCGTTCCTAACAATATCATAGAAGTCAGGAAGCTTAATATAAACAAATGGTCACATCACTCAGTTGAAACGACAATGTATAAAAAAAAACTCAAACATACCACATATTTGATAAAATTCTTAGCTCATGCATGTGTAATAGATGAGTCATTACATACATACTAACTTTAATAATGGAGAGTGCACTGGTCATACTTGGCAAGAACAAAACTAAGATCAATGTACTAATGCAGCAACAGCTCTAAGGAGGGTATGAAGTACAATAATTTGGCTACAACGAAATAAGATTTTTTAAAATTAAACATCTTTTGCCATTTGTTAATCTGTGAATGATGTGATGCCAAAACAGTAAACTGATATAAATTATCTCTACTTTATCATTCGTCTATTTAAATTCCCCTACATTTATCAATAAAAAACTTAAAATACTATTAACTCCCCTAAAAAGCTTTTTTTAGAAACTGGTTGCATATTGGTACATCATTAAAAAAGAAAAAAACATACACAGTTTTCCCTGGTCCATCTGTTTGAATTTTGAACCTATAATAGTATTTCTTAACACTTACAAAGAAGTTGGGTGCACTTTATTAAGTCAATTTGGAGCTTAACCACATCATTACAGTCCAGGTTACCACATCTGGTCAAGCTCTTATCTCACAGCACCACAATATAGTTTCTATTACAAAAGGCTATGCTGTATGTAAGACTGACATGTTTAAAGCACAGCACTCTTCCCTGTGTGCTTTCAATAATCCATCTAGTATATGGAAATGGTTTCCTAGTCCCCATTTCAACAGTTTATGTGCAAAAACATTTATAGGCAATGCATCTAGTGACCTGACCTGTATGTATTTGTATAGAATAGCATAAATACCCGATTCATTCTCCAAGTACTAGAGGTATATGACAGTTCAACAGATATATTGTAGAAGCAATTTGTGTATACATGTGACTTCTGTCACTTTTCCAAATAGAGATTTTTATTGATTATGTTTCAAAGTGTTGCCTGGGACACATGAGTCACTTTTGCTACTGACATGGATTTTCACCTTGTACAACTTGTTACAGGTGTCTTTCTGGATGGTCATAATACTTCAAGTTGAGCTATATTCATTTGTTTTTGAATGCCATTAAATATCCACATCTAAGAAATTCTAATTCCCAATCTGAACACAGCTTTATGATCTTAGTGTATGGATATTTTTGCTACTGAAAGGGCTGTTAAATGCCCTTCCCAAAAGCAATCAAATTTTAGTGCCACAACAATACCTACAAAATGCCTGAAGAAAACAGTTTTTATTTTGTTGTTGTTTAAATACATTTAAATTGTGTTTTCATGATATGTTTGATTACATCATTTATATGTAAAAAATCTAATTACTTGGTCATCAAATTAATACATCTAATACCAAAAATGATTTAGAATGTAAAAAAAACAAACTATTACAACTGCAATATTTATCACAGCTAATATCCTCACATCAACAGAAACAATTCGTTTTTTTGTTTTACATTTTTGTTACTATTTCCAAATCAGTTGTTTTCTGTATGAACATAGACTACAACTTGAAAGAACTGGTAGAAAAAGGCACGATAATAAACAATGTTTACAGTTTGTTTCCATGACAACCACCAGGGGTAGAATAGTTTTCTGTGTATGTTGAATTTAGTGCATAAAGATTTCATTGATTAATTGGGGTTAAAATAGCATTTCCCACAATTCTTTGTGTCCAGATAATAAACACGTGTAACATATATAACTAAGTGTTCATGACACGAAACAGTTTCTCACGCATGTGATTGTGATAATCAATACTTTATTCCATAAACTGTAAGAATTTGTTGAAAGGCTAATATATTTCATATGCTATTATACTATGTAAAGAGTATTGATTTATCTGTCATTATTTCACAAAAGTCTGTGTACGTGTGTGACCGCTTTTAACTAGCGAACAACTGAACCGACTGTCACCAAACCTGGTATATACCCTTAGCCTCCACCCCTCCCTCGGGATTTACATAATCGGCATTCGTATATGGAACAATACGTTATCACTACAGTCCCCTATGTTTTCCCCGTGCGTTATAAATATACTAAAACTTTATTTAGCACGTTACAGTTGGTTTTGCTGATCGTACTGCTTATTTTATTATTATTTCTATGCTCGTACGCTGTTTATGACCTCGGAAGTATCATTGAGTACGTAATATTGCAATTAAAAACGCGCATTTAAAAAGCGACAACCACAACGTTTCTACCATCTTGACAAATGCGTACAATCACTAGATCAGCATGGGAATAAAATTATAATAATGTTTTGAAATCTCGGATATCAAAATTCATTTAAATGTTTGTTGGTAAAATCGACACAACTAAAAAAACAAAAATCTTCATTCATGTGTCGAGCTATCCGCGCAAAAAAACGCATATCATACAGACAGTTAGGTAAATTATATAAAAATCAGGCCAAGCACAACAACATAATAATAATACCAAGTGATAGTGTGCAGAATCACAAGATATATAAACCCAATACATATCTTGTGATTCTGCACACTGTAACTTGGTATTATTATTATTATGTTGTTGTTCTTGGCCTGACAGAACCCAAATTGTTGTTCTTGGTCTGACAGAACCCAAGATATATCTTGTGATTCTGCACACTATAACTTGGTATTATTATTATGTTGTTGTTGTTCTTGGTCTGACAGTAATAATAATACCAAGTTACAGTGTGCAGAATCACAAGATATGTCTTGGATTCTGTCAGGCCAAGAACAACAACAACAACATGATAATAATAATACCAAGTTACAGTGTGCAGAATCACAAGGTATATCTTGGATTCTGTCAGACCAAGAACAACAACATGATAATAATAATACCAAGTTACAGTGTGCAGAATCACAAGATATATCTTGGATTCTGACGAACATATTTCACAGTTCAAGCCATCACGGTTTTTGGCGTGTTATTTATACCTACCTTTTGATGTATGTATGTACAACACGATTATTTGCCTCCTTTACAATGACTAAGTTACATAACAAATATAAACATGATTAACTGGATTTACTTTCATGTTAATTACCAAACATCTTAGGTCAGGTTTAAATTTCGACTTTAAGAAAACGTAATTCAGCTTGTTCTGTACACTACAGTGGACGACGCTCTCCTCTTATTAAGTCGGAACAAAAAGAGTATTATGTTTAACTGCTGACATAATTGACTAATTGTTTAATTTGTACAAAATTATTTTAATACATACATATTATGTATATAATTTTACAAATGTCCTAATTTTTAGGGAAAATAATGCACCAAGCAAACTCATAAAGAGAATAAAACAGACACTATAAAACTGTTAGAAATTTAATAATGTTGGGATGGATTGAAGTTACGTAGAATTCAAGTACCTCGAAGTTTAAATTTACTTGTTTAGTGAATTTCGCGCAAACCTACAGGAGTGTTATCTTCTCTAGACTAGAAGAAAGACAGTTAGTCAAACCATCCATCGTCAACTCTTGGGCTATTATTTTTACCAACGAATTGACCATAATATCATAACGCCCCCAAGGCTGACAGGACGAGCACGTTCAGTAACGAGATTCAAAATCACGACCCACAGATTGCTAGTCAAGCGCCATAACCACAAGGCCATGCCGGATTTGAAGTAATTGAAAGGGGGCTATTATTTTTACCAACGAATTGACAATAATATCATAACGCCCCCAAGGCTGACAGGACGAGCACGTTCAGTAACGAGATTCAAAATCACGACCCACAGATTGCTAGTCAAGCGCCATAACCACCAGGCCATGCCGGATTTGAAGTAATTGAAAGGCGGCTATTATTTTTACCAACGAATTGACCATAATATCATAACGCCCTCAAGGCTGACAGGACGAGCACGTTCAGTAACGAGATTCAAAATCA